ACGGGGAAAATGCGGCTTTAAACAAGAGCTGAGAAAACACCACTTTGGGACCTGGTAACAAAATACTCCGGGTTAAAGCGGTTTTGAGCTGGAAACCAATGGCTGGGGATGGGAGGCAGATGTTGACTGTGTGATCGTGCATATAAAATCCATTGCTGAAGTGTGATGACACCAGATCAAATGGCACATCTGAACACACCCTGCGAGAGCTTTTAGAAAGGAAAAGGATGCACTGTTTGATCTGGTGTCGTCATGCTTCAGCAACGGATTTTATATTCACGATCACACAGTCAACATCTGTCTCCCATCCCCAGCTGTTGGTTTCCGGCTCAAAACCGCTTTAACCCGGAGTATTTTGTTACCAGGTCCCAAAGTGGCATTGTGCAAATATAGCCAACATTTTTTCTTCTTCTGAATTTTCAGACATCTTCTGCATCAAATTCTGTGATAGCATAATAAGGCCCCGGTCACACGGGCCAGATATCGCGGGGGGAGGCATGGCTGTTTGCCCTGGAGCGAACAACTGCGTGGTAGCGGGATCAAATGTCCGGGCCGACTTCCCGTGGTTGGGGGGAGGTGCCGGGGAGGTGCCGATCATACCTCACTCCTGTGGCGTGGCAAAGAAGCGGATCGGCGGTTTTTTTTTCTTTTAACCCAAGTATTTGCATGCTCCGTTGGGTGCTTGGGGGGAAAAATAGCCTTTTCGTGACTGGACATGGGCGGGCGCCGGATGCCACCGGAAACGTGATCAGACGCCCGCCCTTGCCCCGCGGTTTCCGGAAACTAGTACCACCAAGGTACTAGTTTTTTACCCCGCATCTTCGGCGGGAAGCCTCGGGTGCGCCACGGGAGCTCTACGCTTCCCAGATGTGGTGGTGAGATCGCGCCTGGAAAATCCGCCTATCTCCCATCCTCTAGCGTGCCTAATGCTCCGTGTGACCGGGGCCTAAGTTGTTTTATACTAGCCATTTAAGTTTGGAATTGCTGCAACTCATTCACTCACTGGCTGCTTCCATATTTGCTCTTTGTTCCCCATCAAAATGCAGTGTTTTTTTCTTTTCTTTTTCTTGGCTTCCACACAACACTATTGTGAAGTCACCCACCTTCCAGGTTTTCCCTGATTTCACTGCATTATTTCTAAAACCTGCTTTGGTACTAACTTTCCAGGAAGATCATACACAAAGTAAAATTTGGATCTGTGCAGATGGGAAAGCACTGCTGCCATTCCCACTTCCAGCTGTTGGTTTAAGGCAGTGTTCACACGCAAGAGATAATGCAGGAGGGAAGCAAGGCTATTTGCTCCGCAGGAATTTGACTTGCTTTTGCGTGATCACACAGTCCCTGGGAGCCGCGGGGGCGGCCCGCCACTGCGTGATCAGATGCAACCACAGGTGAGTCGGGGAGGGGGGGTTGCCACGTATTTCCAGTGTGCGAGGGATCGATGATTCGCATCTCCACACCAAGTCCTCCCTATTCAGCGTGCGATGATGCGCATACCGAAACGGGGGGGGACAACAGCATGGAGTTGGGATGGCCCGATCAGACCATCCTGATGCCATGAGAGTGCGCTGGCACAATCACACAGGGGAAAGTCCGTTCCTGGCTCGTAGCAAACCCATATGCTACTGGGTTTTCCCCAGTGTCATTTTACTCCACTTCTGCAGCAGAGCAAAACGGGTTGCCGACGGGAGCGGGACGCTTAGCAGATGTTGGTGTCTGATTGCGCCTTTAAAATCTGCCTGGCATTTGAGCCTATGGTGTGGCTAATTCTGCATGTGATCACACCCTAAGTCAATTAATAGGCACATTACTATGCTGTTAAAACACTATAGCAACATACCTACTAAAAACTGGGGAGGGGGAATCAGCAAAAACCCTGCTACTGGCCAGGGTGGGGGAATGGCAGGCACTAGGGGAAAGGACGTGTGCAGACTCCTTGTCACAGTGGCCAAAATAGCGAAACAGGGAACTATCCCCCATGTGATTGCAATTGCAACCACTTTTAAATGGAAAATCCAGGTGATGTTGCATTCCAGTCTTCTTCCTGTTTTTTTCTCCCATCTTTTTTCAGATCTTGCGGCAATTTTAAAAAATGCAATTGCAGTTCCAAGTTATCTAGTATGGTCACTACTGATTTCTCAGGGATTCTGTCCCTTTAAATATTATTATTTTTCTTCCGTTTCCAACCTAATTAACTACCTCTTTTTCCCAAGGCTGAACACAGCATTCATGAATCAGTTATTGATTACCAGTTCTTATTCAGGGCTGAGTAGGGGAATTGAGTATTGCATTTAATTTTTCAAACAAAAAATTATAATATTTTACATTTTTATTGCAACTTTGTAAAAGTGCTAGAATTATTCATTAAAATTTTTAAAAATAGAGTGCCTATGCTTGCAAAGTGAAATGCAATACTTTAATTTTCCCTCGAGAAAGAACCGATAATTGATTCGTAACACCATGATTGGCCAGGAGGTAATAGGAAGTAATTAATTAGACCATAAAGCAAAAGAACAAAAGGAAAACTGAAGGAAGAAGCACAAACTTTTGGTGAATGGTACTACAGATCAAACATATAGTAGGATTTTGCAAGGCCTCCTTGTGGGATTTTGATAAGGACTATACATTGTGCCATATGGAACCTCACAAATAGACCTTAGGATCCCAGATGGATATGTGAGGTCCAAATCAATGTAATTAAGGTTAAGACTAACAAAGAACCATAAGGCTGCATATTAGAAGTTCTTCTGTAGTAGCAGCAGCCACCATGCAATCATTATGAGCAGTCATAGTAATAACTAATATCAAGATCTTTACTGCAACAGAATCGAATGTCACCCAACTTCCAGGACTAGCAAACAGGGCAAGCTGAAGGAAGTACCTTCTCCTTATTGGAGAGCGTTGGGTGAACAAACTTCCTGTAGAGAACGCTGGAGCCCTTGGTGTAAGGAGAGAGCAGCCAGATCACAAATGCGATTTTCAACTCGAAATAAAAAGGAAACCTGAGAGAGATGGAAAAGGTGGAATCAAGCTCAGGTCAGAGACAGACAAAGACTGACAGTACAGAGAACAAGCACAGATGGGATAAGCAAAGGGAAGAAGAGAGCACTACAGATGGAGAAGAATCAACATGACAAGAGACCACAGACACCCTTGGTGGAACATCCCTTCCTGAAATCTCACCTGCATAGACTTGCTAAACCCATTCATCAGATTATCCTTCACTCATAGAAATATATAGCTATGTTCCAGCAGCAGTACCATGTGCATGGGAGTCATAAATTACTGTAACTTTCAGGAATAGTATAATTGACCCTGTGCCTGTGAATGTCTGAATTCTTCAACCAGCTTATCTTGTCCATTTAAGTTTTCTACACAAGTTAAACCCTATTACTGACAGGTAGGTGTTTTAAACAGAACTACTGATCATTTAATGCACCTATCACTGCAAAATTACAGTACCAGTACTACTCTTAACACCTAGTCTGGAGAAGCAAGTCTGTACAATACAGCTCAATATCTTCCTAGTACGTACCGTTGAGCCTAAATCTTAAAATATTCTTTTGCAAAACACAAGACATACACATGGGATGTAACAGTGAAAGAATCTATGCTTTTGTTCAAAACTAGATCTGCTTAAAAATTACTCTTGGAAGAAAGGCTTCCATTGCCATATTTCATTTCTGTTAGGTTTCAGGGTTTGTTTTGTTTTTTTAATTATCTATACATACTTTTTTTTAATTCTTGAAACTAGAATTCCCACATCCAATTATACTCTCTGTGTGTTCCTCAGAACACCTTGGATTTTTTTTTCTTGGTGGGGAGGACAAGGAGTACCTATGCATTTTTGTCAAATTCATATTTTTAATATATGAAGCATAATATTTGGAATATTATCACAGAAACAATAGATTATAGGCCTTTATTAGAAAACCACATTCACAGCTCTCAAAGCTAGGGTCAATGCAAAACTGAGGTTCTTATTATGTCAAGCACAGCAGTCAATTCTAGACGAATGCTTGAAAAAGGAAGCTCATAGTTCCCACACTTCCCTTCTAACACTGCCTGAAAACTTACCAAGAGAGAATAATATCTGTGAGTGTCTCTGCTGTAGTGAAGAAGGCAAACACAATCCAATACATCATCCACTTAACCTGCAAGATAGAAAATCCCATTAGAAATCAATCAAGCATCAGGAACCACATTACAATAAATACTTGGTTGATACCAAATCCATTAAGCCAGTTCTGTACACATGTTAATGTGTCAGCAATTCAGAGTTACAAAACAATAGTTGGTCTTGCTTTGATTTCCTTCTTCCATGCCTGGTTGCAAAGAGTTCAGAGGAAAATTAAGTCCCGTAAACAGAGATTCTTTGTTCCCACAAAGAATTTTCTTCTTTGTTCCTAGACACTATAGCTGTCCTCCTTTGTAAAGAAGGCCGTTGAAATGTATATTATTGGAACCTCATAACTCCAGTTGTTTACTAAGTTGTTTACCACCCATAGTCAACAACTGGAGTTTCCAATTATGTACATCTCAGTTGCCCTCTTTACACTATAATGCACATTTCACCTGTAACATTTGAAGTAAAGTGCAAATGATTCTCAACAACTAACCACACTGCACTAAACACACAGAGATGGTAACCTTGCAAATCCTATTTACAACTGGTGCTTCTGTTTGCCCAGCCTACCATATCCACTTTTCTTATTGTTGTGATTTCTACCATCCCCAGACTCTCTTTGCTTCAAAAAGTTGTTTGTAGGATGTCCCCCTGCTATCAGTTGGTTGTGTTTGCCACAACTGTACTGTTCACTAAAATGTCCCAACATTTTCTGCAATGAGACAACACAGGAAATAAAATAAATGCACATACAAATCAACATTGTCACCACTCAAAAATCCACAGTTCTCAATTATAAAGTGCCAAGATGTCTACCTTTTATTAAGGACAGTTCAGTTCCTCCAGAATAAACCAGCAAATATAGATACAGAATGAGCCACTAATAGTGGAGCAGATCATCAAAATAATGAATTAACTATTTTGTGAAACTGAAAAATCTGAAGCAAGCACCCCCTTCAGTCAGTATCATCATGAATATATCTTGCCATTCAATTGACACCATAAAGAAGCTATTAGAAAGGCCATATTTTCCTAAACAGACTTCATTCAGGGATTCGCTTTATGGTTAAAAACAAATTTCTACATTTCACACCTGCTTACTCTGTCCAATATTTGAAAAATATTAGTGTCAAGGAATATAATTTCATGATTTTGTTTTATTCTCACAAATATTTTGGGATGTTCAAGCAGGCTTATTTCTTCCATGCTGTCATAATTTCAGTCTCAGATACTTTCAGATTCCACAAGGTATACAATAAACAATACAGCTAATGCTAGGGATACTATATGTAAGTGTGCGCACACATACATTATATACATTTACTTCACTCATGTTAAAGCATTGGAGCACTAGTTTCCAAACTGTGTTCTGAGACACTTTAGACTTCTTCAGAAGAATATTAAGTGCTCTTTAAAAAGACCAGGAATCTCTGACAGGCACCCAGAAAGACACCTTTCTCATCACAGCCAGACTTTCACTACAATGTACATTCAACAGGGGAATCTAAAACATACCTAAGGGTGCACAGTCTGTTCATGCAGGAGTGTGGCCAAGCCTCTGGCTCTCAGTATTGCCCTGAATGAATGGAATGTATACACATAGAGTATGCCCCAGAATCCTCTGTGAAGGCGGAGATGTGGTACCTTATGGAAAGATGATGCTCAGCTGATGAGTTGATTGGGAAAAGGTAGGCAAAAAGCACTCTTCCAAACACTTATTAAACATAGCTTTACAAGCAAGGAGTAGCCAGCTGCATGAACCTTTGGGTGCAACTAGACAACGTGGTGGTGATCTGTGATCAGATTTCCAGACATCTTTAATTTTCTCTAGAAGTAACTGCAAGGAGCGCAATTTGGATAAGCATTGGGGAAGGAGGAGTCTAATGATTTCCCCATGCATGATTTCCTTAATAAATACCCGCCCAGTATTTGCCAGCCAGTTGTCCCTACAAGGGCTAATAGCAACAGGGGGGAAGGCTGAAGACCCTCCTGTCCCAGCACTGATCCAGACTGAGTTCCACTGCGACTGCTTTTAAAGAAAACTGAAGGCATCTGAAGATCCAGCCAAAAGACTCTACATCTCTTCTGGTTGCACCCTCAGATTCTGCACTGAATTTTATTTTTATTTCTTCTTTTATAGCCCACCATTGTCACTGAGACTCAAAGCGGATTATAAAGTTTAAAAACAGGTCAATAAGACAGCAAGGACTTCAATAAACAATGCAGTAGGATTACAGAACTGACAAAAATGCAAACGAAAGAAAGAAAGAAAGAAAGAAAGAAAGAAAGAATCTACACATGACATGCCATAATGCAGAAACTGGGTTACAAAGGAAGAATACAAGGCAGTAACAGGAAGGTGATATATAGAGTAAACAATGCTACAATCTATGATCCTGTCCCTTACAAAAGACCAGAAATGATATTTTAAACCAGTGATTTTTGTCTTAGAACACAGAGTTCATTGAAAATTTTGGAGCTGTTTTATCAGACCAAACTAATTAGCAGGAAGACTGAACACAATATGAATTAATTATGTTTGGTTGTGGTACCTTTTCCTAAAGAACAGTGGAAGCGGGAAGCGGGATATTACCGGTGCCCCATTAACAGGATCGCCTTGGCTCCATCAACATCGGACTTTATTGCTTCACTGAGAAGGAGTGACTCAGATAGGAATTTGAAGGTGTTTTCAATATTGAATTGACACCAGAGATATTTTGTATAAATATCTTCATTCAGATTGGAACATTTGATAAAAATTTACAAGTTATTTCTATAAATTTTTCGTTGTTATATTCATGGGTTTCTGGTCTTTTGTTATTTTTTCCCATACTGTGAATCTCCACTTTTTGCTTCCTCCTCCTCAGCTATTCCATTATACTGCAGTGTTGATCCCTTTATAAAAATGGCCTTCTGAACATTTCTGTTTTGCACGTTCTGTGAAATGATTGTTGGATGGGGGCCTTCCTGACCTCCTCACAAGGTGAGAGCCACCACAGAGCATGTGTGTGACTGGACAGTTACCAATCATACACACTTGCAGTGTGGCAGCTTCAGAAGGCTTAGCTCAGATGAGTCAAACTGTTGTGGTGGGGCATGGCCACAGAAGCAATCCTGCAGGTATGTTGGTCCAAGGCCATGAAGAAGCTTGTAGGTAATTACCAAAACCTTGAGCTCTACCCAGTAACTGATTGGTAACCAATGGAGTGTCTGTAGAATGGGTGTGTCATGCATGTTCTACCTAGTGCCTGATAGTAACCAAGTGCAGCTATCTGTACCAACTGGCGTTTCCAAGTTGTCTTTAGTGGCAGGCCTGTGTAAAATGCATTGCAATAGTCCAGTGCAATCCTATGCAGAGCTACTCCAGTATAAATCAGTTAATTTCAGTGGACTTAAACTGGAGTAACGGGCTTGCACTGTCAGACTCTGAATTTAGAATAAAATATGGAACTAATATATTTACACAATTTATTCTCATTAAATACTTAGGGTGTTTTTGCATGGATTGGTGAAATAAAAGGAAATGGATGGGGGTTAGAAAAAATAGGAATGGGAGAATGCATGGAAATGAAACAAGGGGAAGGAAAGTACTGGTCTAGCTTTTGAATCCTAATCCTTACACATGGTTTTACCAGTTGAGAAATTTTTTGTAATGGTAACCTGGCAGAGGGCTATTTTTATTTTAGCAACAGAACTGAATTAGCAACAGTCTGGCTTGTAACAGCTCCAGCTGCTGATTCAACGACTAGTGTAAATGTAACAAAACTGAACAGAACATCCTTTATTTTAGCTGCACAAAAGCTACTTATGATTAATCAAGTGAAGGTCAGAGAGATATGAGAAAAAGATACTCAGAGAACAGTAAAAATTCTGTTATGTTTTTCAACCCTATCCTTGGCTTTTTGATTTCAACCTCTCAGATCTTACAACATCATTAAGAGTCAGAGGCACCACAGCAGCTCAGAAAAATACATGCTTATCTGTAGAGCAAAGGGTGCGCAGGAGAAAATCAAAAGAGAATAGGAATGCATCAGGGAAACAAATCAATTTAGTACTTCAAGCATTATTACAGTGGCATACTCTGCATGTATGTATAATAGTCTTGGGTTACTTACAGGAGCAGCATAGCATTTCATGGGCTCTATGACAAATACGTGTCTGTCTAAACATGTTGCTGACCTGAAAATATGGTAGGTCAAACTCAGGGTTTGGTCTCTTACTTTGAGAAAGATGAAAATAATCCATAGCCAAAGGAACTGGAAAAAACTATAGTTGCCATGGATGGATAAAATTATTGCTATTATTATTAAAATTCCGCAGGGCCTGTAAGACAGAGCTCTTCCACCAAATGTTGGAGATGCCACACTAAATGATATACCATCTAGCTGAACACTACACCCTACCATCTACTCTTGGCCACCAGCTTAACACTTATGCCCACATGAAAGAACTCAGGCCCTAAGGAGCCTGACACCAGCTGCTGTTTTCCGTATGGTGGATGTCAAGACAGTTCTGCTTTTGATTTTAAATTGCTCGATTCTTATATTGTTTTATTGTCTTATTGTTTATAATGTCTATGGCCTTTTTAGCTGCCCTGAGCCTGCTCTGGCGGGGAGGGCAAGATATAAATCTAATAAATAAATAAAACCGTATGTTTATGACTGGGCTTTCAGATTCTTTTAAACTCCTATATGTGCATTTATGGGGGGGGAGTGAACCAGTTAGGATGAATGATCTTTGAAGGCCTATGCATCCAGATAGTTTCTAAACTAGCTCGAGCAATTCCTTTAACTGATCTGTCTTAACCAACCCCCTATCCGGTTCCTGCAATACACAGTTTACTCAAATGGTTGACATGATAGTTCCTAGGTATATTCCCTTTTCCTAGAACATGCACTTCCCTCTGGTTTCTGGGCAAGCTGCAAGCAATGAAGCAGCTGGGATGACAGCTGAAGCCACCGTGAACCACAAGGAAAGGTGGGGTATCAATGTTTTAACAAATAAATAAAAATTAATAGAATACTTTCA